TCATTTCTGATTTGTTTCTTTTCACCTTATGGCAAAAAAAAAAAAAAAAAAAGGTTCCAAAAAAAAGGTATATCGCTGCAGCCGAGAGGATTTCCAGGATTTCGGTTTGGTGTTTTTTAGCTGCCTTTATGCTCCGCAGTCCACCTGCCTGAGTGCTGTAGCACGATTTTCCAGAATCGTCCTGAATCCCCTTGGGTTTTCTTGCTCTGGCAGGGGAGGGCGCCTGGCTGCGGGAGAACTGATCCCTCCCTGAGTTTAAGCCTCACCCAGGGGCACCAGAGGTTTCAGGGTCTCTCCCAGCCTGGGGAGACAGCAAGCCTGCGTATCTTGTCCCTTCGTGGTCACCAAGAAATGTTGCAGAATTCAAGAGCCTGGAGCGATCATGAGTGATCAGGAGGATTTATTCTATGTACACTTGGCTCAGTGGACTGGTCTCCAAAGAACCGAGCCCTCTCCTTGTTTTAAGCACTGTGACACTGTACCTTCTCCCACTGTCTGTTTATGTCCTTGGCCTATTTTTGTTCTCTGTTTGATTTCCTGTTTTGTTGATTCGCAGGAATTTTTGTATATTCAAACCCTTTGGTTTTGGTTTTTATTTTTTTCTTTCAAGATTTTTCTCTCAGGGGCTGGGGATTTAGCTCAGCAGCACAGCGCCTGCCTGGCAAGCGCAAGGTCGTGAGTTCGATTCCTGGTACCGGAAAAAAAAACCAACAAAAAAGATTTTTCTCTCAGTCTTCCATCAGCATGTTCACTTTTTTTGATGTCATTAATTCAGCAGACGTCTTAAATTTGGGGTGTTTTGTTATTGTTTTTTCAGTGCTGGAGATGAGAACCAAGATCTTGTATAGGCCAGGGAAGCACCCTGGCCACTCAGCCACATCTCAGCCTCCCGCCTAATTTTGACCTTGTGGTTTGGAAATCTTGTTTATAATGTCTTTCTTTACCCATAGGTGTTACAGATTTTCCTACATTTTCTTACATTAGCTTTGTGGGTTTTTGGTTTTTTTTAGTTTGGTTTTTCTCCGGTACCAGGAATCAAACTCATGACCTTGCGCTTGCCAGGCAGGCGCTGTGCCGCTGAGCTAAATCTCTAGCCCCAGCTTTGTGGTTTTAACGTTCACATTTAGGCCTTTAATACATCTGGAGCCCATCTTTTTTGGGGGTGCGTTTTTTGAGACAGGGTCTCACTATGCAGTTCAGGCTGGCCTTGAGCTCACTTTGTAGCTGGTCTCAAACTCACAACGATCCTCCTGCCTCAGCCTCCCCAGTGATGCACCACCACGCCTGGCTGGAGCCCATCTTCTACATGGTTTCAAGTAAAAGTCCAACTTTCTTCTTACAAAACTTAGGAATTAGTTTTCCCGTCACTCTCTGAAAAGCAGTCTTTGATCTCACCTTTATCAGATCTTACGTTTCCATGGATATACTTTATTTCCAAGCCCTCCACTCCTTCCCCTGGGCTTTTTCCTTCTGAAGTACCAGCAGCATGTTATCAGTGTGGCTGGGTGGCAGAGCGAGTTCTACCAGTAGGTCAGCACCTTTACTTTGTTTTAACTGCTCAAAATAGACTTGCTTTCATAAGCCTTTACCCTTTCATATTTGGTTCACAGTATTCCTGGAGATTCACTGAAATGTCCAGCTTAATTGGGAAAGAACTGACTTCTGCCTGGAACACTCCCTCCCCAGGATCCGGTGTGGCTGGCTTCCAACGCCTCTCTGCTAAAATATCAGCACCTTCACCCCACTCCCAGCATTGGAAATGAGATAACATGCTCACTCCCTCATACTCTATTCTCTATCCCTTTTTCTTTCTTTCCTTTTTCTTTTTTTTGGAGGGGTACTGGTTTGAGACAGGGTCTCCCTCTGTAGTCCAGGCTGGTCTTGAACTCACT